AGAGAGAGAGAGAGAGAGAGAGAGATATGAACCAGGAGAACATTATGCTAAGAGAAATAAGCCATTTGCAGAAGGACATATACTGCATAATTCCACTTAAATGGGTTATATAAAACAGTCAAACTCAGAGAAGCAGAGAATAGAATGGTAGTTACCAGGGAATAAGAGCAGAGGAAAATGGGGATTTGCCACATAACTCATGTAAATTTCAGTTATGGAAGATAAATAAATTCTAGAGATCTGCCTATAGTTAATATGTTATTGCACACTTAAGAATTTCTTAAGAAAGTGGATCTCATGTTAAGTATTCTTATTACCACAAAAATTTTATTAAAAACTGTTACATAATCTCACTTCAATATTTTGTAACATTATGTATCCATTTCATACATATAGAAAAATTATGTCAAAAATAAACAAAAAATATGTATGATTTGTACCTTTAGAAGAAATATATTTTAAAACGGAATTAACAAAACAAATTGCACCTCTTTTCTCTACTAAAGCACATATTTGGACTTTCTTACCATGATGAGTATCTCTGGTTTGTGTTTCTTGGACAAATCAATGATATCCACTCCATTATAAAAGAGATTTTCAAAACACCCATTGAAGCTTTTATGTGGGAACACCAATGATTTTCCAAGTCCAGGAATCCCTCCAAAGCTGATCTTAGAAAGAATAAAATGATATAAATAATATTATTTAATTATTTTCTGATTATCTGCCCAAAACATTAATGATCTACAGATACAATTGTCTTCAAATTTGCTTTGCATATTGTCATATTAATTACAAATGAAATTTTAAAATGCAGATTTATCATTGTCTTTATTATAGAGAGACTCAATTCTCTAGTCATATGATTCTTGTCATCATTTTTAGATGAGAATATTGTATCTTTATTTCCATGATGATCTGTGTAACAGCTTATCCCAATGTATCATCCCTAAAGAAAAGGGGAACAGTAAAACTGCATGTTACTGAATGCCCCCTTTCTGTTCCCAAAATCCTTGCCAAGTTAAGGGAACCCTGAGAGCAAGCCTAGGCTGGAAAGTCCAGTTATATATTATCTTAAAGGAACTGGGCTTTCTCTTACACAAAATGGGAAGTAGGGCTACTAAGTACTACTGTAGACAGCTACTTTCTTACATGTACACCCAGACAGTTACTCCTTAGGATGCTGGTTAGACATATTAACTAATCAGCTAATGCTGAAGAATGCACCTGCTTCTGCAGTCTAAGATATAAAACCCCTCTCTGAGTAGGGATCAGCACAGATTGAGCATACTGTGGAAAGAAGAATATGTGTTAATAGTCCAGCCACCACCACTGGACAAAGTGCCATGAGGAACAGAGGGACCAGTTGTCAAAGCACCATGAAAGGCAAAAGTGCTATCTGCAATCCTGTCAACACTGAACTCTTCTTGGAGGTAGCACTGATCTGTTGTGAGGCTTTCCCAATAAATCACGTCTTTCATGCTGTCTCTGGGCACTTTCTTTGGTTTTCCCACAACATACCCCACTGTGCCCTGGTACAATTGGGGCTGTGGACATGACACCTACTATGAAGGCATTTGACTTTGCCAACCTTTATAGTAGTCAAGATTTTAGGGCACTGGCCTTTTCTATATTACTTTAGGTTGGAAAAGTCTATTCATTGATAATCTTATTCAAGAGCAGGATCTTCCATTGATCTCCACCACTGAGGTCAAACGAATGTAAATATTTTCTGGTTTCCTTGTTCTATCTGATACATGCGCTGAGCAGAATCATCAGAACAAATCAAATGCTGCATTTCAGTATGGAGTAGATGTATGTGGGCAATACACTGCTAACATTGTTAAGGCTTCAGAAATACTAAGAAACATTTATTTTGATTTGTCTGCATTTGTCTCTCATTAATACATCAGGATACTTGTTGATTGTTTCTCCAGGTTATCCCAGGTCACTAATTCTGTTTACTACTATCCTATAAGCAAAAGAAATTTCCAGGGCTCATATTCAAAAACACCAGATATAATACTGAAGACTTATCTGAAAGAATGCCTTCAAATATTGTTTTTTTGTATTTATTTATAGCTTTTCATCCAAAAGCATCCTAACTTCCTGGCATGAGTGCTTATTCTCATCTGAGGACTAACATTCATAAGGATAAAATGTCTCAATAGTATATATTTGTGCCATCATGCGCCAAATTACAATTACGTTCAATGATGGCCCTCACATCTGTGAGTATCCCATAACAATATGTTGCCTGGTGATGCCATAGTCATATAAGTTGTGTAAGTACAGTCTAAAATGTTCACACTACAATTAAATCACCTAATGATGCATTTCTCAGAATGTACCTTGTTGATAAGCAGTGTTCAACCTACAGTGTGATAATAATCCATAGGAAATAATTCACCAGATTCTAATTCCTAGGAAAGAGTATGTATTTTTTCAATGTAGCAGTTCTTTCTCTAAAGGGTTATATTTCATTTAAGTGCAAAATCTATAATGTCCACACCTTATAACCAAGATCTAAAAGGCTGGCCTCTCCCTCTGCCTGGAAACGGTGAGTATGTTTGTCCACTGTGAAATTGATGTGTGTGTTGAGGACCTCAATGAGGACAGAATGCCAGTGTTGGTCATCCAGCAGACTGCCCAAGGTGAGGGTCACCTGGGCATCTAGGGAGGGCAGGTTAGCACCACCTGAGAAGAGAGTAAAAGTCAATGTAGTATTATTACACCCATTCAAAACTGTGGTTTCTACTGGGAGATTTGTCACAGCAATTACTCTTACCTTATATCCTCCTATCCAAAAAGCTACTTAGATAGTTTAATGTTAATCCTAAACACAATCTAGTTTTGACCTTTGAACAATTTCTTCTATCTTATTTGTTGTTCTTTGTATTTGCTTTTCTGATTCAATAAAAAGTAAGGATCAGGGAATCTCCCTATATATTTCACATTCATTCAATGTTTCTGACGACATTTTCACTTAATGTAAAAATATTTTCTTCTTAGGAAAGAAGAAAAGTAATGCAACTACCTCAAAATTTTACAATGATCCATTCATCTTTATGATATTATCAGGTTATTTATTGGACAGCTGATGATGGCTCTATACAATTATCAAACTATAATACTGTTTACATAAATACATGGTTAAGACAGACACTTAGCCCCTAAGATGCCACAACTGTAGGATGAACACGTTCCCCTTGCTTAGACAGCTCTTGTTTGTACCAATCACTCCAAGGAATTATTTATAAGACCTTCTTTCATTCTTAAATGGATTGGTTTCAGTTTAAATTAACTGCTTAAGAAAAAAAATAAGTATAAAAAGCATTTTCATCTAAGTAATCACATTTTTAAAAGCAATTCCTTGTTCTTTTACCTGAATTAAAGAACAAGATGAGTTTTCCTTTAACTAATTCCAGGGTGATATGTTTGCCATTTTGTCCTTCTCTGTGGAGTAGAATCCCATCACTCTGCCTGGTTTTAAATTTCAAAGTAATGATCTCCTTCATTGAACTGATGGATTTCTGATTAATTGTGTACAATAAGAAACTTTTTCCATCAAAATTAACCATCTCAGATCCTACAATGGAAAACATCAAAAAGTGATTCTAGATATATTTTCATTACTGCATTGAAATACATAAGTCAACACACATGTACATATGTAGTCTATTTCTGGTTTGCTTAACATAGGTGGAAATACCTACTGCCAACTTCCTCTTGATACTAGAGTTAACACACATCATCTCTCTGTTTGCTTTTTCTGACTTTTTGTTTTTTAAGACAGTATCATCTAGAAGTATTTGTGTTCCTCTCCTTCCAATTGCACCTATCTTTGTATTTGCTTTTCTGATTCAATAAAAAGTAAGGATGAGGGAACAAGCTGAAGTTAATCCCCCTTGCACAAAATCTCCCTGTATATTTCACATTCATTCAATGTGAAATTGACACTACTGGTGTTTGGAAAGGATAAAACTGTTATCACATACTGGTAAAAGGTGTCAGTGTAAATAGCTTTATTGTTTGTGACCCAGTAGTTTAGACATTTAACAGTTCTCACTTTAAGATACTTGTGTCCAGTCATAAGAGTCATGCATGCACATCCCAGATTCACTCAGTACCATTTTAAACTCATCTGAAGGGCACGCTAATACTAGCTGTACTTTTTCTCAATGTTGTGGCTGAGTCAAATCACAAAAGGCACACCTATTTTATGATGCACCTAAATAACTAAGAAGGTCATTCCATTGGGATACTACCATTTTTCTCTGAACTTACTGACAATATCTTACTTTTTTGGTATCAACACTACTTTTATCAGTTTGTGCCAAAAAGTTATGTTATCATTCATATACAGGGGTTGGGTGAAACTCATTGTTAGTGATTGCCTAGCATATATAAGGCCCTGGGGTTTGATTCCAATCACAACACATGCACACAGACACATCATCAATCAAAAACAATTGCAAACAGAACAATACAAAGGAGTTCATACAGTATGGCATCATGGTGCTGGCCTATAATCCCAGGGACATAGGAGACTGAGGATGGAGGATTTCAAGTTTGAAATTGAGAAATTTAATGAGACCCTGTCTCAAAATGAAAAATAAAAGCAAAAAAAAAAAAAAAAAAAAAAGAGCTTGGAATGTAGCTCAGTGGTAGAGCATACTGGGTTTAATCACTAGTATTGAAAAATGATTGATTGATTAATTAATTAATTATTAATTTTTAAAAAGGAGTTCATATTGCCTAGAAAAAATATCTCCTCTGCATTTTTCATACACAACTGTCTTTTAAAAATACATGTGTACTAAATGAAGACAAAGCAAATAATAAAAGACCTTGGTGTCTTTCAAACCAATGTTAGTTATTTACTTTCACAGAAAGTTGTGGCCAATGTACACATGGACATACATTTCATTCAGACTAAAATATTTTTATTATGTGTAGCTTCCTTTTTAAAATTCGAAAGTTCAATTCACATGTATAGTGTGTAATATGTAAACACTACATTGTCTAGAAATCATGTAAACTAAATAATTACTCTTCATTTTATAATTAAACGAACATGCCTGGTAAGAATATAACTAGTCAAGTTCAAATGAAGTTCTCAAGCTTATTAGATGGCAATGAAATAATGAAACCCTGATAATGAAGAATTGAAATGATTTCACATTTTAGTAGTACATATTCCTATGTATGTCACTGACAACATCAAAAATAACTAAGGCTTGCTTTTGCAGTTAGCTAACAAGGAAATTTTGTTCTGCACATGATTTTGCCAAGATTATTTTGGTCAAAAAGATTTTACCCTCACCCTCCCTGTTGCCACAGTGGTTTTGCAATAGTTAAATTATTAAAGCATCAGAATCTTCTGGAGTGTTTGCTGCACACAGATTGCTGAGACATAGCCCTGAGTTTCTGTGTGAACAGGTCTGAGATAGAATCTGAGAATCTGCATTTCAAACAAATTCCCTCCTGGTGTCCATGCGCTTGAGCTGGTAACCATACTTTGAGATCCATAGCTTTAAACCACCTAAATTATATTTCTTGGAGATTCTTCTCAGGCAAAATGGACTAGTAAAAATTTTACTGGGTAACCATGACACAAAATAATGGCCTTAAAACCCTTTTGTCCTAATGCTTTGAGTTATTTTCTAACTCTTTGTCTAGAATAGTTAACCATATATTAATCACCAAAATATATATTATAAGAAAAATACAAAACGTACATTGACAGATTTTTAAAAGCTTATTGGATGACCAAATTAGAATATAGATCTATAGCTAAGTGAGTATAACAGCCCTAGTAGTTTAAAATCTTCAAGGATATAAACTTAACCTCAACTTTAGGGGTTTAAAAATGATAGACAAAATTCAGGAACTGCTTTTTGAAGTCGAGAATATTAGGATCTCTCACTCTTTATCTCTAATTATTTGCATAACTCTCAAGTCCATTACTGTACAGACCCCTGAGCTAATTTGTAAAGGGTTGTTAAACATAAAATCAACAACAACAACAACAAAAATGCAGCAGAGAGCACACATGGCCTGCATGGCCTGAAATGAGCATCTAGCCCTTTCCAGAAGTTCCTCACTCTGACTCTACAGAAGTATCCTATGATGGTTACTGGGCTGGTGCTAACTGTTCAGAGGTGGCAGTGATAAGAATCAGCTCACAACCGGACATTCTGGCATCCAATTTTTATTTCACTGAAAACCCCATTATGTTTAGGACCTCACAAATTATTTTTGTTGACATCCATACTGCACAATTCAATATACTCCGTTTATGACTATGATTAGAATGGTAAAGAACTGGTCAATATTTTAGCACCTGGCTATGTATTTCTGTGTATAATATAAAACATTGGCCTTGATATAAATAAGCTTCTGTAGATTGAAATTCTTCTTTGAAGGATATTCACAATTTTGTTCTATTATTAAAACTCCATCTTTTCCATGTTATGTCCTTTAGACTTAATTCCATTCATTCCAAAAGTATGGCCCATTCGATTAATACTGATATAGCACCTAGCTTGTGTCACCACTCACTGTGCTGGATGCTGGGACAAGCAGGGGCCAGGACAGGTCTGGCCCTAGCCTCTCCAAGCAACAATCCTCTTATTCTCTGCTACTTTCTTACTTATAATGTCATGAAGAAATACAATTCATAGGGAAAATCTTCAAGTCTTACAGGGTTGCTAAGGAAACTACAGAAGTACAGAAACAGCTTATAGCTCAAAATAAAAGCAGGAGAAAAAAGGCTCTCCTTTGGTAACAGTGTCCAGAAATAAAGAATACAAAGAATTAAGGAATCTTGATGAACTGCCAATCATGCACCCTTCACATTAAATTTGCAGATACACATCAGAAAGTAGTCAGCCATGACTTTACATTTATAATAAAAGAAAACACATTATCACAACAGATAATTTAAAATATAAATAGAACCTCTATTATAGGCCTCACCAAAACTAATCATTCTAATAAAATATTATCTACCTAAAAATATTCACAAATAGATTTGAATATTTAAACAAATCAGAGAATCAGTAAATATAATTTTTAAAAATCAGCATTAAATACTCAAAGTGAATTTGTACAAGCAATAAATTTTAAATAAATGTAAAGTTTAAAAAAACATATTTTGGGAGACAAAGCATTTCATCAATAAGTCAATAGTAGCAATTTCTCTGAAAGCATTGAGGGGGAGCTCCACCAGGCAGGTCCCTTAAACTTACCTATTTACTAAGTATTACCTTCCCTGACCCTTGTGCCACTGATCTCAGTGTTACCTAGAGAATTAAATTACCTAAGATGCTCTTTTTTGTATCATTCCACTGTTATAAGATATTTGCTGTTTAACTGTTAAATAAATAAAACTTTACATATCCATAATGAATACAAATAATCCATTATAATATGTGGATGAAATATCCAAAGAATACATCAAATTTCAACTTGGCATTCCATTTAAAATGGCTTTTACAAGAGTCTTCATAAAAGTGTCTCTGTATATAATCCAACTATTTCAATCACTGAAGTATTTGAAAACAGAAGATACATATCATGCACACAAGGTAGGAAGTGACAGTTTCCCCAGTTATAAGACTACAAACTTATATTCCAAAAACAGTGGGAGGAAATACTTGTGATTTCACTTTATCATCAATAACTTCCTTAATAGATTAATTTTTTATGTTTCAGTCTCTAACAGACTATGGTTGGAATATATATTAATATGGCAAAGAATGGTCAATATTTTATCACCTGGCTATGTATTTATGGGTATGCCATAAAACACTGGTTTTTGTCACCACTCATTATGCTGGATGCTGGGATAAGGAAGAACCAGGACATCATCATAGGATACTTCTGTAGAGCAGGAGTGGTGAACTGCTGGAATGGTCCTTACGTAGTAATCTATTAGGTAAAGGAATCCATCTAACCAGTAGTGAGGCTAAATATGTGCTGACACATTTCCACTTTCTTAATCTAGTCCACAAAAAGCCATTTCAAAAAATGAAAATGACAAAGTGCAGTGGGCTGTGGAGCTATCCTGAGAAGGTTGGACTCCTGGTTCCACCTTAGAAGACTCACTCAACCTCCTCTGCCTCAGTGTCCTCATTCACAGGGCATAAGAGTCCCCCACAGAACTATCATGAATATTAAACCATTTAATGTCTATGAGTGTGCAAACATGGTAAATCTTCAGTGGGATTAGTTACATCATTATTGTTGGTGCTCTGGGCAAAGAAAATGAGATTTAACCATAGCTAAAAACTACCTTTAGGACTTTTGCTTTTGACCATGATGGGGGTAACAGGAGAACTTAAATACTTAAATTTTCTTGGAGTATTTAATGCTGATTTTTAACAGGTTTATCCCTCACTTGAGACAACCAAAAATAAGGTCCCTTAAACTTACCTGTTCACTAAGTATTCCCTTCCCTGACCCTTGTGCCACTGATCTCAGTGTTACCTAGAGAATTAAATTACCTAAGATGCTCTTTTTTGTATCATTCCACTGTTATAAGATTTTTGTAAACCATTGAAACAATGGTTTATAAAACATTTG